TGTTTCCTATTTGTATACTGCGCCCAAATGCTATCTTGTTTTTAGTTTGTAATGTTTTTTAATGTTATTATTTGTGAACTACCCACAATCAGTTGAAGTCAAGGGCTGTCCAAGTTGAATTGAATTAAATACATTCTCTCAGGGGTGGTATTTACTTATCTTTGCTACTGGTTCACAAATGTGAGTGCATGCACAGAGCATCAAAAACAGGACATGATGATGTCCGGGCAGGTGGACGAAGCCTCCCATAGCCGCCGCTACCGGTTCGCCAGAACCGGATATAACTGGCTGAATACCACAACTGATTTTCTCTCTATGTGTACATATGTATGCACATGCGTGCACATGTTTACTCCTGGTGTTTGCCTGGACAATTCTCTGCAGCTTTCTTTGCAAACTTTTTGGAAAGTGGTTTGCTATTGCCTCCTTCCTAGGGCTGAGAGGAAGCAACCGGCCTGAGATCACTCAGTTAACTTTCTGCCTAATGCAGAATTAGAACTCAAGGTCTCTCAGCTTTTAGCTTGGGGCTTTAACCACTATACAAAACTGGGGATGTTGCAACAATTGTAAATGTGAAAAATGGTCATAAGTTACTTTTTTCAGTGCCATTTAACTTCAAACGGTCACTAAATGAATTGTTGTAAGTTGAAGACTACCTGTATAAAGTATCTCAAGAACTTACGTTGAATATTCCAAAGCATTTAGAAATGAAATTTCTCTTCTCCGTCCTTCTTTCTCTGCCCCCACATGAAAGCATTCCCATTCTGAGACAGTCACAGAGAAACAGTGAAATAATCCCTGCCATCTGCTGTTCTATATTTTTCATAAGTTTTAACATTCTGATTTTAGAACCTAAATGACAAGTAAAATGTCAAGTCATCTAGAAAATAATCAGAGGCATAACAACCGAAATGTTAACTAAACTTGTCTATTGAGAATATAGTTTCTAAGTATCCCCTATTTTGAAGATACTACTGTATAGTTCTGTTGGAAGAAATATCCTTCTGAGTTCAGTTCCAAGTGGAGAAAAAGACACTGGATTCATGGAAGTTGCTTGGAAAGAAAGTTTATTGATGAACAGGATCCCATGGCTTGAGTTCCTGAGCAGAAAAGGGCAGAAATCAGAGGTGGGTTTCAGCAGGTTCTGACCAGTTCTGGAGAACCGGTGGTGGAAATTCTGAGTAGTTCGGAGAACCGGTAGTAAAAATTCTGACTGGCCCTGCCCCTATCTATTCTCTGCCTCTCAAGTTCCAGCTGATCAGGAGGAAATGGAGATTTTACAGTATCCTTCCCCTGCCATGCCCACCAAGCCACACCCACCAAGCCATGCCACCCCCACAGAACCGGTAGTAAAAAAAAATTGAAACCCACCACTGGCAGAGATGCTGAGAGTGCTTTGGTTTTATGCCCTCTGTAGGGTTTTGAATTTGAGCTTGTATTCTGATTGGTTGTCAGACTCCCATGGGGCCGTGCAGGGCCAACTCTGTAGGCTGTGTTTTGAGTCCAAGTTTGGTTGAGCCTTAATGGGTGATGTAATCTTCCCAGGCGCCATGTGGTGAGATGAGTAGAGGGCTAATCCTACGTTTGTTGGATCTTGGGTGAGGGCATTTGCCTATTATGGCTCTGCCTGCAGGAGGTAGATCTTTGATATGTAGAATAGACTGGCCCAGGCCTTAATGGCCCATTGACAAAGGTGGGAGGGCTGAGTTTCTGTCTCCCTTTTAGGGGAAATATTCTGCCCTTTTAATATTCCCTAAAATATCTCATTTTCCTAGGAGAGGGGTGGGTGCTAACTTCCTACACTGCTTTCTACTTAATTGTACAAATTAAGAATCAATTGGTAAAGTTTTTCACAGCTTTAAAATCATGTATTGTAATCTGAAAGTTTTCTTTCTTTATTTTTTTTTTAAAAAATTGAGTATTTGGCAAACTTACTAATTGTAAGAGAAAAGTAAGTTTGACATCAGCATCAGAAACTTGTTTACGTTGCTGGTTTGAGCTCTGACCTTGGCGATTTGGTTGCAAACGTTTCATCCCCATTCAAGGAGACATCTTCAGTGCCCTTTGGATTGTGCTTGTCTGGCCTTTAAATATCTTTCTGAGTCCTGGTCTGGTTTCAGGTTATGTGATTGGTTGGCTGTACCGTGTTTCTCCGAAAACAAGACCCTGTCTTATATTTTTTTGAATCCCAAAATAAGCGCTTGGCCTTATTTTCGGGGAGGTCTTATTATTTTGGGGCATGTGGAGCAAGATGGGGCTCCTCTTGCCGTCTTAACTGAGTTCCAGCTCTGCGTTTAAATATTTTCAGGGAGGGCTTATTTTCGGGGGAAGGCTTGTTTTAGCGCATGCACTCAAAAGCCTGATTGCGCTTATTATGAGGGGATGTCTTATTTTTGGGGAAACAGGGTAGTTGCTGAGTCATAACCCTTGGTTTTATGTACCATCTGTGTGATGTAAATTAGTGTTGTTGTTTTGTTGAGATGTCTTCTGATGATGTCATGGTCTGTTTTTGGGTTGATTTGATTGGCTCCGTGTGATGTGGTCTGATTTCTTGTAATCTGTCGAGTTATAACTTTGTTTGCAGCATGGCTGTTCGTTGGTCTTTAAATGCTGCCTTCAGGATCTGAAACCAGACCAGGACGAGCACAGCTCAAAGCGTACTGAAGATGTCTCCTCGAATGGGGACGAAACGTTTGCAACCAAATCGCTCAGAGCTCAAACCAACAACATAACTACCAACCTGAACTACTAATATTCAAAGACATTTCGAGAAACTTGTTTATTGTGAAAATTAAGAGCTTTCTAATTAGTGTCTTGCACTTCATTAGGAGTTCAAGTTATATGTCAGTCAAATACTGATTGGTAACTACAGTAGTGGCCAAAATTGTGGAAACCTTTTGGGAAAAGAGTATTTTCTAAAAATAGCTAATAACACCACTTTTTTGGGAGTAGTGCCATAAAATTATATATCAATGGAAAGATAATTTAATCAAGAATGTAATGCAATAACTTTTATGAAGGATTTGCTATTAGGATAGCAGTTACAGTATAAAGAAGAAAAATGAAACACGTAGAAAAAATGCGATATACAAAAATTATCACCATAGAAAAAATGAGATATACAAAAATTATCTCCATGTCAGTTAATACTTAGTTGGGTAACCTTTAGTATGAATTACGGCCTTACAACGTCTTCCCATGGAGTGAACCAAGTCTTTTACTTCTTTACATTCTGTTATAATGTGAAACCAAGATTGAATGATTGCTTCCATTAACTGGGTCGCTTCTGACTAACAAGTTTCTTTAATCAGCTCCATAGATTTTCAATTGGGTTAATAGTTGGGAATCTGGCTATTCCTAGGCCATTCCAGCAGTGGAATATGATTATCTTGAAACTCCCCCAAAAAAAGTGGTGTTATTAGCCATCAAACCTCAAAAATACACTTTTCCCAAAAGGTTTCCACAATTTTGACCACTACTGTAGAAGTTTAGCATCAAGTACCTATATAATCTTCAGAGGCAATAATAAAATTCAACTTCATATTTCTGATTCAGCCATGGTCATTAGCTAGAACACTGGACATGTTACAGGCATAACATGGTCAGTATGGTATATGCAGCCAATGTGATTTCCCAGCCCAGAAAATGGGAAAATTTCATACAATCAGCATAAGTCTATGCATTTTAATAACCAATTGATTGTTGCAGGATTTGCCTCCGGTGCTTTATTCAAAGCAGAAATGTTCCCAAGGTGATTAGACTTTTCCTAAAGTTATTAGACAAATCCTAGAGAAGCCATTGCAAACAGAGGCTGATTTTGTTGTGTCTTATTTATCAGGAGGGACATTCAGGGGGTTTTGAAATGCCATTCCAAGAATAAAAGCATGCTGCATTTTCTTTTTTCTTCTTCAGTTTCATATTGCTTTACACTCGGCTTTGTTTTTAAACACACAAACTTCTATTTGTAGTTGGAAAAATAAAATTAAACTAATGCCAACATTTAATTTTGTAATATCTGAAAGTACTGGATCACTTAAAAAAATTATAGGTTTTGGCAGTTACAATTTATGCATGGTCTGTGTCAGGGTGGATTTGATTTAAATCGAGTTGATTTAAATCACAATTTAAATCATGATTTAAATCACTAGTAAAAAGGCTTGATTTAAATCAACTCGATTTAAATCATCATTTTTAAAGAGCAACTGTCATCTCTGCTACTCCTTTGACCCACTGTTGACTCACCGATAGTCCCAGTGTTGCAGAATATACAGCCTCATGCTACATAACTAAACTCCATTTCATGCTGAATAAACTAAGTTATTTATGTATCTTAAATAGAAAACTATCTTACGATAGATTTTTACCCCAAAAGTTTTTTATTAAAATAAATTTGAGAAAAATCAAAAAAATCCGATTTAAATCAAAAAAATCCGATTTAAATCAAAAAAATCTGATTTTTTTGATTTTTTTAAAAAAATCATTGATTTTTATCCACCCTGGTCTGTGTCTTTCTGTCTAAGTAGAACTGGGTATCTTGTCTACCAATCTCCAATCTTTCTTCATTGCTCCCTAATTTTGACTAAAACTCTTCAGAGTGTTTCTCAGAAAGAAATGTCATCAGAGATCATTTCATTTTTTAATACAGTAACAGTAATAAAATTGGAAGGGATCTTGGAGGTCATCTAGTCCAACCCCCTGCTCACACAGGAGACCTATACTAGGGATTCGAACTGCCGAACTGCCGACCTTTCTGATCGACAAGCTCAGTGTCTTAGCCACTGAGCCAGTCAATGTCTGTTGATAATGGTAGTCTACAAGAAAAATCAAATTAAATAAAAATAAAATATCAGATTTATTGTTGGTGTTCAATCAGATGTGGTTAGGAAGTTTTTTCAAAGATGCTTTGAAGGTGAGCAGTTTGCTTCTATTACACAGCCCTAAAAAAGTGTGACCTGCCTTTAATATGTATCTAATGCATTTTAATTTCTATTTTATTTCAGGCTCTGCTGGATACTCAGAACCTTTTGAGAGCTCAAATTACAAATTTTACTTTCAATCTGGGATTTTCAGGGAAATTTTACCACACAGGTAAAAAAAAAATTGTAAAATTATTCTCCATTTGTGCACTGCAGATAATTGGAATTTGTTTTGGGTGGATTTACTTTATTCTACCATGTTTCCCCAAAAATAAGACTTATATTTTTTGAACCCCGAAATAAGCACTTGGCCTTATTTTTGGAGAGATCTTATTATTTTGGGACACGTGGAGCAAGACGGGGTTCCTCTTGCAGTCTTACGTGATTTCCAGCTCTGTCTCCCTAACCCTCACCGGAGGAAATGGCGGGGACCAGGTCCGCATCCATTTAAATGTTTTTGGGGAGGGCTTATTTTCGGGAGGGTATATTTTAGCGCATGCACTCAAAAGCCTGATTGGGCTTATTATCAGGGGATGTCTCATTTTCAGGGAAACAGGGTATTAAACAAAAGGAAAGAAATAACTTCTGAGAGCATGAAAAAAAAAATTCCTTCAGCAGAATTAAACTAAAAAAAAAAATTAATAAACACTTCCTTATGTACAATGTTGTACTTAGTTGTGAGACTGTTGTATTATCCATAGGAATATCATAATTTTAACATTCTGGCAATATAGCCATAATAATACCACGGTATCTCATGGACCATGTTTAAGCAGTTTGTTTGGATAATAATAGTGTAGTTCGTATGCTAGAAAATAGTAGAGAAATGTGTTTGAAAGGTCTCTCTTAAACAATTGTTCTGGGGGCAAAAAAAGAAACATACTTGACAACTGAGATTTTTAATTCAGGATTTAATAACCCGATAGCCTGCAGATGTGTAGACTTACCAATACGTATCAGCCATGCTGAAAAATATTTTGAGAAATTAACCTAACATATCTGCAAGGTATGAAGCTGGGACAAGCTTTCTTATATTGAAAAATTGACCCAATATGTACACTTAGGAGGTCTCGTAGAAGAAATTCTATTCCCTGATTTGTTTCATAAAACTTAGTTCAATAAAAACACAGGCTGTACAAAAAATTGATGAAATACTACAATGATGGGTTTTTTTTTATTCTGGAATCCAAATAAAATATATGAGTAACATCATTGTCTACCACTATTATAAATAATAAAAGTGTTGCTGTTCAGTTGCTAAGTTGTGTCCTATACTTCACCCATAGCATGTCAGGCTCCCCTGTCTTTCCCTGTCTCCAAAGTTTGCTTAAATTCATGTTCACTGCAATGATGACACTATATAACTGTTCTGTCCCCGTCTCAAACACGCACCCCCACAGACAGGTAACAGTTAAAGAACTCAGCCGACAACAGTTTATCTTGTATCAGAATTGGCAGCAACTCAGTGGCTGGCTGCCAGGTATTCTTTACTTACGAGGGGGGAGTTTCTCCCTTTTCCGGGAACAAAGCCAATACACAATAATCAACAAAGTCCAGTAAATACAAAGAAGGTCATCCGATATCCGTTTTTTGCTTGTCACAGAGCTGAACCGGCCACCAAACCCTCTTTTATACCCTGTGGGGTATGGTCCAGTGACTCAGCCTAATCCCTGGCACGCCTCTTCTTCTGTTGCGCGCGCTTATCTCTGCGACGCTGCCGAGGATCCAGCCAAGACTCATCTCCCTCATTACTGTCCACCTATGTCTGCGTGGATGTGCTTGGCCCCGGGCCTATCTCTTGACCTTTGGCGGACACCGAAGGCATTGCCAGAGAGGAGGGTCCTGGAGAGGGAGGCCTTGCCAACTCCTTTCCTTCACTCTCGGAGTCCTTTCCTGCCGATAACACAGGCTCAGGTAACGGAGCCAGAACAATAACAGTGATGGCTAACCTTTTCGTCGCGTGCCAAAAGTGCATGCACGCACCCATAACACAATGTACATTGTACATCCCTGCATGCGCCCCAACCCCCACGCATCCGCACATGACCCCCTGCGCTCCCCCTGCCCCCGTGCATGCACACACAACCCCCGCATGTGCCCCGCCCCCACACATATGCGCAAGACCCCTGCGCATGCACACGACCTCCCCGTAGGTCTCCTGTCCCCTGCACATGCACGCATGTCTCCCACATGTCCCCCATGAATGTGTGGCAGAGACCCAAAAACCAGCTGTCTGGCAGGAGGCGCATCCACATGCACGGCGGAGCTGAGCTGGGGCGACAGCTCGCGTGCCCACAGAGAGGGCTCTGCATGCCACCTGTGGCACACGTGCCATAGGTTCGCCATCACGTCTATATAACCATCTCATTCTCTGCCATCCCTTCTTTTTGCCTTCCATCTTCCCCAACATCAGGGTCTTCTCCAAGGAGTTCTTCCTTCTCATTAGGTGGCCAAAGTATTTGAGCTTCAGTATCTGAAAAGTAGTATTATTAATACATAATTCTTCCAGTCCAGTCCTCCTGGCAATTAAAAACAGATTTTGAGTCTTTGTTATTCCACCAAGTTTGTTTTACTCACCTACTATGGTCTATATTAGTTCCACATTCACCTATCAAGATTATACCATGCAAAAAAGTCATTGTGATTGTGCTGTCATCACAGCAACGATTTACAGTGCTTATGATGAGAAGTTCATAAAGGACTTAATTAATTTACATCATATATAGAACACAGACAATATTTCAGCCTCTTCAGGACTGAAATTGTATATGTACGCAATTATCTCAGAACGTATCTCTTTAAGTTGCCTCATCCCTGAAGTGGCCATATTGTTCTGTGATAGAGTCATTGGTTTTAATGAACTACTAAAAGGTAATGATCCCAGGCAGGCAGCTATATCAGTTTGCCCGCCTGAACAGCCAATAAAGAGACTGAGAATAGATAGTATTTAAGGTATATAAAATGATGTGTGTTGAAAGCTGTAGAAAATTGATGCATGTGCTTTCAGTGTTCTGCAAAAGCTTTCAGTCCTACTTAAACAATAAGTAATTAATGAATAGGACAGACTCACCCATTAAGGTTTAAGAATACAGCAATTACTTACAGCTGAGGCACATTGTGATTTACTCTGAGGTGTCATTTCAACTTGTAAATTAACCATTGTATCTCAAGATAAACTTAGCCTATTCACCTCTCGAAAACAGAGCTAAATGGCCTTTTGAGAAGCTGTTTTTCATATGCGCTCCAATATCTCTTTTGGACCGGAAGCATGGTATTAAGTTTGAGAAAAGGGGTGGTAGTTAAAAGAAAGGGATCTTGAAGGAAAGAATTTATAAGAAAAAATGTATAGTTCTACGTAGTCATTGCTGTGTATATTGCAGACTTTCTATATTAATACTTAATAAGACTAAAGTCAGACTTTTGTATTAAAAATATAAAACTTTGCCCATTATACTGTGACAGTAGTAAACTTTGTTTTATTTACAGTATGTCACAGAAGTGAGTATACTCCCTCACATTTTGTAAATATTTAAGTTATATCTTTTCAAGTGACAACACTGAAGAAATGACACCTGGCTACAATGTAAAGTAGTGAGTATACAGCTTGTATAACAGTGTAAATGTGCTGTCCCCTCAAAATAACACAACACACAGCCATTAATGTCTAAACTGGCAACAAAAGTGAGTACACCCCTAAGTGATAATATCCAAATGGGGCCCAAGTTTTCCCTCCCTGGTGTCATGTGACACATTAGTGTTACAAGGTTTCAGGTGTGAAGGGGGAGCAGGTGTGTTAAATTTGGTGTTATCGCTCTCACTCTCTCATACTGGTCATTGGAAGTTCAACATGGCACCTCATGGCAACGAACTCTCTGAGTACTCACTTTTGTTGCCAGCAGTTAATCATTAATGGCTGTGTGTTGCGGTATTTTGAGGAGACAGCACATTTACACTGTTATTCAAGCTGTATACTCACTACTATACATTGTAGCCAAGTGTCATTTCTTCAGTGTTGTCACATGAAAAGATATATGTAAATATTTACAAAATGTGAGGGGTGTAGTTCTATGACATACTGTATATAAAAACTTTCTGGAATTATATATAATCAATATATTCTTAACATATATAACGAGAAACCAGAAGCGTTGCAGCGAGACTGGCTGGAAAATAGCTGGCTCTGACGAGTTTTGCGAAAATCCAGCCAGACAAACCGCTGTCGGGGGGTCTTCAGACCGGATCTGTTGTAGGGACGGTGAAGAAGGAGAGGTGCCTCGGAAGACCAAGAGGAACAGGCAAGTTCCTCGAAAGGTCGGAGGAAGCTCTTCGAACCGGCAGTGGGGGTGGCGGCCATTATGACCGCTTTGAAGCTGGGGCAACCGGAATAAGAATTGTGCAGGAGCGGTGTTTGGACGGAGTATTGGTACTCGGTGAGTGATTGGCCAACTCACAGGTAAAAAGGAAACTTAAAAAAAAAATTTAAAGGTGTCCTGGCGAGGAAATAGCAGCTATTTGGCACTTGGGAATTTTAATGGAGGGAGAAGAACAAAAAGGAAATTAAAACACTAAAGCCCAGAAAAGAAAACTTTTTATTTGGACTTGAAATTGGATTCAGAGAAACTAAAATTGATATAAGAAAAAGAATCCCGAGGGAAAACACTTTTTAAAGAGGATTTGGAATAATTTTGACAGTTTTGACAGTTTTGAATTCTGAAGGAAAAACAAAAAGGAGGTTAAAATAGCAACAAATTTACAACTGGATATAAAATTTAATTTGGGAAAATAAAACGCAAGAAAAGAAGAAGAAAATTGAGAGAAAATATTTAATATGTGGATTTAAAATACTTTTGTAAATTGGATTCTTTGTGACTCTGAAAATTGTGGATTGGAGAGAGACATCTACCGGTGGAAAGAAAGCACTACAACGAATAGCTTGAAAATTGGAAAAAATAACTATAGTGACCTTGAGAACTACAAGAGTTGTAAGAAAAATTAAGGAGTATTTGTTTATACTCAAACTGCTTGGCCTTGATTACTAAAGGAGGTGGAATACAAAAATCAGCTGGACATAAGTATATGGACTTAAATTTTAATTAAATACAAGCTAAAATATTAATATGTGGCAGGAATTAATTGAGATGGTTAAAAATACATGTTAATCATTAAAGGTTAATTAAAAGGTCAGAAATTTTGTTACAACATACTCAACAGGACAAAGAGATTATAAATGATAAGCAAGAAAATAATATTGAAGGTAAAGAAATTGAAAGTAAAAAGATAAATGATTACACTGGGATTAACAGTGGCAAAAAAGGAAAAAAGAAGCAAGCAAAGAGAGAAAAGGAAAGGGGAAGAGACTGGGGGGGGATAGCAAGATGATTACACTGGGATTAACAGTGGGGAAAGAAAGAATGGAGAGAGGGAAATATTTTCCAAAAAAGAAGCAAGCAAAGGAAAGAGAAGGAAATGGGAACAGATTAGACAAAACCTGGGGACGAACTATGTGAGTAATAGACTTAAAAGTAAGAGAAAGGATTCAGAAGAAAAGATAATTATAAAAAGAAAAGAAAAAGAAAAAGAAGACGAGAATGGGATAAAGGGAGAAAAACATTAAGAACTGAAATACTGGCGGGACTAAGAGAAAATGGTTAAAACGGGAAGAATAGTGGAAAGGATGAAGGGAAATAAAGTATATAATCATAGAGCTAAGGGAACTGTATTAATATTAGTAATTGTGAAGATAACAAAGATGATGATATATATTGTGTATTGTAAAATGAACAGTAGATGAAATATGAAGTGACAATTTGGTGCAATTATGAAAATAATTGAAATTAAGAGATAAACTTGAAATGTAAAAAAGTGTGATGGGGATTTTAAATGATGTGTTGTAAGTGATGAAATAGGACAATTGATTGATGTTATAATAAGAAATCAGGAATTAAGAATGGAAAGTGATATTGCTTAAGTTAAAGGGTTTCAACACAAAAATTGAATAAGATGAAACACATTGTTTATAGCTTAAAAAGGGTCAAGATTTTGAGAAATATATTTTATAAATGGAGAAATAAGATAATTGAAGTAATGTTAAGAAATTAGGATGTGAAGGGCGGATGGTAATATTGTTTATATACTATGTATTAAGAAGAGATTAAGATAAAATAAAAAATAGAGAAAAAGAAGATCATGGCAGAAATTGAAATATGCAAATTGTATTTGGAGAAACTAAAAAAGTAGATTGGAACAGATTATAAAATATATGTAATTATGTTATAAATTGTAAAAGATGTGACCCGGTCAATACTCTGTGCATAAAATATGTATGTAAAAGGAAAATTTTAATAAAACTTGTTTAAAGAAAACATATATAACAAGCACTGTTGAATATGAATTTTAGCAAGCTGTAGACCTCTAGAGAAGTAAAATAATTTTGTAGAAAGAATGTAATATTTTAAGCGTAAACATAAATTACATCAAGTTTACCCAGGAGATGGACATGTAAATTAGCGGAACAATTTGCTTCAGCAAAATATTCACTTTCAGTTGTAGTTCTAATTAGTCTTCACAGTTCACTTCAGTTTATTAAAATCATAGCCCACTACAATCAGAGTGCTCTGTGAACACAACAAACACACAGTATCTTAGATGATAAAATAAAATTTAAGGCAAAGTTAAAACACATTTATAAAACAACCTAACGAATATCTATGACAATGATGGCAAACCTTTTTGCCGTCATGTGTCAAAAGCGGGGGGAGTGGGGGGGTCGCATGCCCACATCCATAATGCAATGCCCCCCGTGCACCCTGCCCCCCATGTGCCCCACCCCCTGCACATGCGTATGTGACCCCCCTGCACTGCCCCGCCTCTGCACATGCACCCGTGCATGTGTGCACGACACCCCCCATGTGCTCTGTTTTGAGCCTAGCAGGCCTCCCTGAAGCCTCTGGAGGCCAGAAACGACCTATTTCCAGACTTCCATTAGGCCTGTTAGGCTCGTTTCTCATCCTCCCCAGGCTCCGGGAGCTTGCCTGGAGCCTGGGGAGGGTGAAAACGGCCCCCCTGGCCCTCCGGAGGCCCTCTGGAAGCTGGAAATGGGCCATTTCCAGACTTCCGGGAGGCCTGTTTTTCACTGTCTCAGAGCCTCTGCACGAGCCCTGTAATTACCTGGCATCCAAAATGGGCCGCGTGGAGACTCCTGAGTGGGGAGGGGTGGCATGGGTGGGGCGCACGCATGTGCAATGGAGGTGACCTAGGGCAACGGCTCGTGTGCCTGCAGATATGGCTCCGCGTGCCACCTGTGGCACGAATGCCATAGGTTCGCCATCACGAATCTATTAGTTCCAGGATACAGCCAATACGTTAAATTATAAGTAGACACTTTCAGTTGTGACACACCGTAGAGATGCTTGCAAATTATACCTTTCAGTGATTAATTAAGCGCATCTACGACTTTAATATGCAAATATTAAATATGCATATTTAAATCAATTATAGCCTTTGTTTTGTTGCAACCTTCTTTTTAAATTGCATATTTATCATTCAGTGGCTTAGGGTTCTGCTCTAATTCTTACTACTTCTGAGTAGTTATTCTAGGAAAGATGTCGATCACTATAATAGGAATCCAATCATAGGGATGTCTATTACAATCATAGACCAGAATATAAATAGAATATCTGTTACTAAATAAAAAAATACAATTATAGTAATATAATACAATAATCAGCATAAATGTAAAATATCCTCCACTAGACGTTATTTGATACATTATTTAATGTCTTATTCATTGAACACACAGTTTGACTCTAATGTAGGTCAATGGAACTGCTTATGTTCCAGCTCAAAATATACTATCATTCTGTTACGACTGTTATTAATTTGGCTTATTTTCAAATCATGCTTGTCCTAATCAAAATCAGGCTGCAAAATGCAGCACATACCTGATGTATATTCAGGTGACTCACTGTTTACTTCAAACTGTGCCTTGAGTAACATGATCAAATGTGTTGCATTCTGTTTTAGATACTTGATTGCTTATGAATTGTTGCTATGAATTTGAAATTGGTTTCATCTTCCTGCTGTAATTTGTTGCAATTTAAATGTTCACCATGCTTCTAATAATCGTAACAAAGTTATTTCAAAAATGGGAATATTATTTAATGAATTATTTATTCCTACAGGCACTGTAGAAGAAGATGAAGGAGATGACCTGTTACTGGGGTCTGTTGATGAATTCTGGTGGTTTCCTCATATGTGGAGTCACATGCAACCACATCTGTTCCATAATGAATCTTCACTAGTGGAGCAAATGATTCTCAACAAAAAATTTGCCTTAGTGAGTAAAATTCATGCATCATAGGCTTATAGTAGAAATGATATGTAACTGATACAGAGTACAGAGTGCTTAAATTAAGCATTCCCTCTTAAAAGTTGAGACTGTCTTGAAATATAACTTTAATTAGTTTATCAGGATTTTCAACTCCATCTTAGTTATTCTACCACTGGATGAAATAATAAAATTACAGCGCAGAGACATTTATATTACAGAGCATCTAGGTGAACATTTAGGTGTCCATGACTACAGTTTATTAAAACAATCGTCCATACAAATGCATGCCCACCGCACTGCTTCCTTTTGAAGTAAGCAGAACTACTGAAACAGAATGACAAACAGTGAGCAAAATAAATTAAATGCATAAAATAAGAGAAAAGAAAAAGGAAATTTAACTCATCCCTAGAATACCCCAGCACCATTCATTAAACCACTTCCTATCTTTCTTGTTTCCGCCACATTCTTATACCATTTCATAAATTGCCTTTAAACTTCTCACTTCTCCCTTTTTGAGGAACTTCTTACTCCTACAAATTTCTCACCAGTTACAATTTTCTTAGTCTTCCCTTTTCTCTTGATCCATTCGGTTTTCTTTCACGTATTTGTACTGTGATTCAGTATTCATTCTCATTCTGTATTATCCAAATTCCCACAAAATGCTTCTTTCGTATAGATCACTTAGTTTATATTTAATCTACGTTCAGTTAATCACCCACCTATTTGTTGTTGTTAGTTGTTGTTAGATGTCGTGTCTGACCCATTGCGACCCCATGGACAACGTTCCTCCAGGCTTTCCTGTCCTCTACCATCCTCTGGAGTCCATTTAAGCTCATGCTGACTGCTTCAGTGACTCCATCCAGACACCTCATTCTCTGCTGTCCCATTCTTCTTTTGCCCTCAATCTTTCCCATCATTAGGCTCTTCTCCAGTGAGTCCTTCCTTCTCATTAGGTGGCCAAAGTATTTGACTTTCATCTTCAGGATCTGACCTTCTAAAGAGCAGTCAGGGTTGATCTCCTCTAGGACTGACCGATTTGATCACCTTGCAATCCAAGGGATTTGCAGGAGTCTTCTCCAGCACCAGAGTTCAAAGGCCTCAATTCCTTGGTGCTCAGCCTTCCTTATGGTCCAACTTTCACAGCCATACATTGCAACTGGGAAAATCACCCACTTATAGGTGGGTGAAGTAAACAGCACTACTCTCCTACACACAATCATTTAAACTTACTTTGAGAAACTTTCCTCACATTATCCACACTGATTTTTCCATCCATTATCTTTTGTTTAGTAATAATTCTCCCAAGATAGATGGCTTCATATAGAGATATAGATTATAGTTGGTATAATTTTTTATCCTGTTTAAACACCTTGTAATTATGACCACATTTTCCCTGTCAAACACAACTTCCTGAGTTCTTAATACATTAATTTTCAAGTCCATATGCCTTATTGCATCAGGCAATCTGTCTAACATTCGCAACAAATCATTCAGTTCCTCAGCCAAGAACAAGGCATTTGCCTGGGTACGAAAATACATACGCATGCATATTCGAAATCACACCTCTGCGATCACCAAAATGATTCCTTAGATATGTTCCATACATATAGCTGGATGATGAAACAATTTGTTCAATTTTGTCACACACAACTTGGATTGAGGATTCTGATGCTAAAGAGCCAGCTTCAGGTGCACGGTATGGATGACACTCCAAAGAATCAATAAATAATCACTTTGATTGAGGCTGACCCACCTCAGTTCTGAGAAGCAGCCCAGGGCATGTCACACCCGTTACGAAAAATAAGTAGCATTCATTATTGTTCATAATTAGTTCCCATCCAGGGGTTACCTTATATTAAGCTAATTCCCTATGATACATCTCTCTTGGGAACAATCATTCTAACCTAGAACCCAGTGGTGAAATCAAATTTTTTTACTACCGGTTCTGTGGGCGTGGCTTGGTGGGTGTAGTGTGGCTTGGTGGGCATGGCAGGGGAAGGATACCGCAAAATCCCTCCCCACTCCTGGGGGAAGGATATTGCAAAATCTCCATTCCCATCCCACTCTGGGGCCAGCCAGAGGTGGCATTTGCCAGTTCTCCGAACTACTCAAAATTTCCGCTACCGATTCTCCGTACTACTCAAAATTTCCGCTACCGGTTCTCCAGAACCTGTCAGAACCTGCTGGATTTCACCCCTGCTAGAACCAAGTAGTCATGGGATTCAACCGGTATAACAACTGGTTTGCTGAGTACGCGCTTTGCACACTCAAAGTTTAGGTCACTGCCCTTTATCCTAGTCTATGAATCCACAAATATGAAGTAAACTGTCCTACTCACACTATCATAGTGGGTGTCCTTCTGAAGAGCAAAAGTATGTATGTTCTCTGTCCTACGTAAAGACACAGGACTTCCAAAATTGTATTTATTTTCATCTTGTATTCTTTCAGCTAGTATTTCCCACACAGGCTAGGCTAGGAGAACAATAATGGCATTGATTGAATCATCACACAGATGCAGGCTTCACATACATATTAAACAAATCAACAGTTTGCTTGTTTTCATTTCCAAATCCACACCGGTACCTGTGTTATTTTCTGGTAGTCTGTCATTCAAATACTGGACATGTCTGATCCTGGATAGTTTCTCCAGATTTATGCCAGGCAGTTAGGTGCTACCACCTACGCAAAGATCATTCTATATTCAAAACAATGAAAGTACTTGTTTTAATATCCTGTAAGTATAAATGACAGTCATTTTCACTGTGTAAAGAGTACAGATAGCTTTACGCATTGTTATTGAATGCAGTCACTTTGCAATATCTGAGAACATTCAAACAAAAGTTCTGATTTTTAGAAAGTATGCTTGATTCATAGATTATATTTTTAATTATACCTGAAAATTAGAAATATCCATTTTGTAAACATATGTATCCTAATTTTTTTAAAAACCTGAAAACTTGCAGCCAAGTGGTATGTAGATGCTCCTATGTTTCAATTTATTTCCGCATCAAGACATACCCCAAATTTAAATAATTATACAAAGAAGTCAGATGGAGATCCAATGGAGAGGAGTGCCACTAACAGGAATACTGAGAATGATGTAGAAATACAGTTCCACTGTGTCCATTATAAATGACTTCCGAATAAGATTTTCTTGCATCAGAGCAAAAACCCTTCAATTTTTTTTTTTTTTTGATTTGATTTATATGCCGCCCTTCTCCGGAAACTCAGGGCGGCTTACAATGCGTTAAGCAATAGCCTTCATTCTTTTGTATATTTTATACAAAGTCAGCTTATTGCCCCCACAAACTGGGTCCTCATTTCACCTACCTTAGAAAGGATGGAAGGCTGAGTCAACCTTGAGCCTTGGAGAGATTCGAACCAGCAGAAATTGCAGGCAGCTGTGTTAATAACAGGGTGCACTAAACCACTGTACTATCAAGGCTCTTACTCTTAATTTTTCCTAAAAATACTTTGCCCCCCTATAGCCAATCTAAAGCTAGTGTTCCCATACAATCGGGTGAAATGCTCCCGGTTCGGACTTGATTGCCCAATCCGGTAGCGATGGCGGCAGGTGGTTTGGAGAACTGGTAGCAAAAATCCCTGCCCCCACCCCATACCCAGCTGAGCCGCGCAATCATCAGAGGCTTTTTTTTTTACTTTTTAAAAGCATTTTAAAAAGTGCTTTTAAAAGTAAAAAAAAGCCTCTGAGGATCAGGCAACTCAGCTGAGATCGTCAGAGGCTTTTAAAAGCATTTTTTCTATCACCTGGTAGAAAAAATGCTTTTAAAGGTAAAAAAAAAGTCTCTGATGATCACAGCTGAGCCACGCGATCGTCAGAGGCCTTTTTTTTACTTTTAAAAGCAATGCTTTTAAAAATAAAAATAAAAAGATTGCACGCCGCAGCTGATCACACACCCCCCTTGCACGCTGTTCTACTTACCGCATGCCTCCTTTTGGCATGCACTGCACATGCGCACCTTGCATTTGGTGCGTGGTGCACACCGTGCATGCACAGCCAGCGAACCGGTAGTAAACCGGTTCAGATTTCACCACTGCATACAATTCATTATATACACACAAACCACTGGAACCAGGGAGAGGAATTTAAAACATAATTTTAAAAACAAGCCTGGTATTACACTACATTACTCTTGCTATAATTCACCCAAAAATGGGAGTTTTATAGAAACACAGCTTTATTGTTTATTATGCACAACAAGCAATGTTGCTTGAGAAATCTTGTATATCTGTTCATCAGTATATTGTCTGCGCCCTTGTTAGAAATTTAACTTTAAGCAGGTGAAAAGAATATTTAAAATGTCACAGGAATCTCCATATTAAGGTTTAAAGCATACGCTTTACAGTGGGAACGGATTTGCCATTATCAGAGTAACTGGGTGTTCAACCAAGATTTAAAAATAAACTACTTATTTAAATTAACAAGATGGTCCTGGGAGGGGTTCATTTGCATATTAGCAGATAGATGGTTTGATAGAAAACATCTATAAATATTATACAATTTCACATCATCACATCAAAAGAGAAATCTGGCTCACATGCTTGTTGAACTGGAGCTAAATTAAGCTAGAGAAAAGAAAACAAAAAGCCTATAAAATATTGTAACATATCCTAGATAAAACAGGAAGTGTACATATTTAGAAAGACACTACCGTGTTTCCCCGAAAATAAGTCCCTGTCTTATATTTTTTGAACCCCAAAATAAGCACTTGGCCTTATTTTGGGGGAGGTCTTATTATTTTGGAGTGGAGCAAGATGGGGTTCCTCTTACCATCTTACCTGATTTCCAGCTCTGTCTCCCTAACCCTAACCAGAGGAAATGGCGGGGACCAGTTGTGCATGCGTTTAAATTTATTTATTGTTTATTTATTGGTTTGATTTATATGCTGCCCTTCTCCGGAGACTCAGGGCGGCTTACAATGCGTTAAGCAATAGCCTTCATACCTTTGTATATACCTGCTTAGTAGGGCTTTCGCACCCCCCCCCCAAAGCGGTGTTCTTTTTTTATACAAAGTCAGCTTATTGCCCCCACAAACCGGGTCCTCATTTTACCTACCTCGAAAGGATGGAAGGCTGAGTCAACCTTGAGCCTGGTGAGATTTGAACTTGCAGTAATTGCAGGCAGCTGGTGCTATTTAACAGCACTTTAGTCTGCTGCGCCACCAAGGCTCTTCCCATATTCCATATTCCCAAGTTCATATATGTGTAGGAGGATGTCGCCATATGTGTCCACTGGTTCCTAGCTACAAAGGATTTTATTTTGCTGTTTCAGGAACATGGCATCCCAACTGATATGGGATATGCTGTGGCTCCACACCATTCCGGCGTCTATCCTGTTCATGTTCAACTTTATGATGCCTGGAAAAAAGTTTGGAATATCAAAATCACCAGTACAGAAGAATATCCACATTTAAAACCTGCACGGTACAGAAGAGGTTTCATTCACAAAAACATCATGGTGAGCTGTGTTTTTTTTTTTTATCCTGACTTTTCTGATTACTGTGATCCACGAAAAAGTATAAGAAATATTTGAAGAGCTATTTTTAGTTTATTATACCCTACCACGAGGTTGTAATTTATTTCAAATGTCCTTTATGCAGAGCTGGGATTCACTTAGCTTCCCTACCGGTTCACAAATGGAGGATTTGTGCATGCTCAGTAGTTGCGCATTATATCCGGGTGGGTGGGTGGAGCCTCCCGCAGTCACCGCTACCGGTTCGTGTGATCCAGACAGAACCGGCTGAATCCCACCACTGCCTTTATGTTAAAATGGGATCAAAGATGCTTTGAAATTTTTAAACTTGTCAAAATGCAGCAAGTATTGCTGAAAAGCAGCTAGAGCTGGATGTTCAGCCATCTTTTTTATCTAACCACTGATGCTGTGAAGAGGCTGTGAAGAGGCTGATGTTAACTTTAAGGATTATGAGTGGGAACATCTGTCTTAAAACCTCCTGTTTATTGATGGGATGGCACTTTGAGATCAAATCCAGATACCTTTCTAAGTATTCCATTGCTATTAGGAATATGTTTGGAAGCCTTAGTGTAAATCCGAGTGAATATATGTGTATGTTTTAGTTACAGTACATATCAGTGTTTAGGATATTGAGTTAAAATGTTAAAAGTATGCAAAGTATTGTCAAGCATAGAAAGTTAAAGTAATAGGTACATGTAAGTTTTATGTTATATTTCTACATAATATTCGTATTTTAAATGAAAAAAATCTCATGTTTGAAAGTGGTTGGATGGGCCTATCTTATTTTATGGTAATAGTACTAAAGTTTCTGGAATTACTATTTTTTCTAATAAATGTATTTTAATACATGTATGTATTGGTTATGGTTATGGACCAAGAATATTTGGATACCAAGGGACATTTTTAACTTCTTCTTTAAATATGTTTTACATATGATACTAGATAATTTCTATAGTCCTGCAAAAAACAATTCTGATTAATTTCATAGATGTCTTTCAAACTATCTCAGATAAATTGCCTTTGTCTTTCTATGAGGCTTTGTCCATTTTCTATATGCTATATGTGATTTTATGCAATTTAATCATGTTTCCCCACCTCCAATTATCATTTTCTTGTCTGAAGAATCATAATTGTTTCCCTGATGTTTTTCTTAACAAAATTATTCAAGCTCCTTAATTATTTTTGTTGCTGGATTCTGTATCATTTTCAGTTCTGTTATATTATTTTTCAAATTATTCCAGATAAGGATATATAGTAGCACAGAATTTCCAGGGATGTTAAAGTCTTGGCAGTTTTATTTTCAGCCCCATTCCTAATTATCCTTACCATGGAATCACGGAATTTCTGTTTTTCACAACAGCCACACACAGGGTCAGCAACTTTGTTGAGCCATCCACTATGGCCTCAGGGTTTTTTTCCTGGTTATTTATAGATCTCATCAGTAAGTATTTGGAGTTTTGTCCCAATCTGTATCGTTTACATTTAAATCAGGAGTGGGCTGCTGGGGGTTCGCAGGGTTTGGGAGAACCTCTAGCTAAGATTCTGTGCAGTTCGGAGAACTCCCAAATCCCACTTCTGGCTGGCCCCACCCACCCCACCCCTCCCAGGAGTCCCCACACAGCCCATTTTGGATACAGGTAAGTGCTGGGTATGTGCGGAGGCTCAGGGAGGATGAAAAACAGGCCTAACGGAAGTTCGGGAAGACTGGAAACGGGGCCGTTTCTAGCCTCCAGAGGGCCTCCGGAACCTGGGAGGCCATTTTTGCCCTCCCGGAGGCTCAGAAAAAACCTCTGGAGCCCAGGGAGGGCAAAAACACCATGCCCCCACTGTGGTGGTGGAGGCCAACTAGCCATGGCCACGCTCACCCAGCAGCCGGGCAGAGAACCCCTTGCTAAAATTTTGGAAGCCCACCCCTGACTTAAATGATCTTGCCTTGTTTTCCCGAGTGAAGAGATCCTTCTGGAACATGTTTTACCATTCTGAACAGTATCTACAAATGTAGCCTGCTCCCTATTTAATCCTAAATTAATTTTAAAAGTACCAGTCCCAGTCCAGAAGCCTGGGGATCAATTTTTTCTTCTATGAACAAAATTGCTGATTTAGTCTTACTCTTTGATGTTGTGTCTTCCTACCCAATTAGTTATCTAGGTTTTTTTATAATCTTCCATTTTATTTGTTTGCTATTACATTTATATGCCACCTTTCTATTGATATATATTGATATTACATTTTATATTATATAAAATGTAATAATAAACTCAGCATAATTTATTTTTAAAAAGCTTCATGAAAAAGGTACATTTTAAAAGATACATTTTATTTCTAAATAATTTGAGAGTGGGGGCCAACTTAGAAATAACTGTAGCTTGGAAATCACACAGTAAACAACTTCTTCCCAACTTTTTGGCAGCAAGGACATTTTCAGGAAAATCTATTAAGTATTTTTAACAACTTTTATGAGGAACTTTGTCAAAGGCTTTTAAAAAGCCAGGCACATAAAGTTGAAAGGTCCATATGCCAGTTGACACTGTCAAAGATCTCTTAAAAGTCGAGTTAGTATTTTCTTTGTTGGGATCCATGCTGGTTTTCCATCACCATGACTTATTTCTTTACATTTTTATTTTTTATCTACAACTGCAACACTTCCAAACAATTCTAAAGAATTATTTTTAAAAAAAATACATCACTGGGTACACAGAAAATCTATCATAACTCTTCATGTAGATCTTCTATAAAAATATTATATTTCCACTATACATATTGGCATGCTATTATGGTTGAATGTAGTGACTTGCTAGGCAGGGAATCGTTCTTTAATAAAGCTGACAGACAATAGCATGCTGGTTGGAAGAATCCTATATTTTAAGTGTTGTTTTACTGACAAGTAGATAGACATCTTTTTGAATGAAATGATCATTTATTTAAAAGGCTATTTCTTCCAACTCCAATATCAGACAAAGCGATGGGGAAAAAAAGAAACCAACAAGGCTTTTGAAGTTGTCCATCAAGGGTTAATAATTGGAGAGTGGAGGCAAACATATCATCTAAATATAATACGTTGGAATTTATTTTATTTTTATTTAAAAGACTAACAATTATTTTTAAATCGGCAGCTGCGTGTATATATTAACCTATATTCCTATCTACTGTAAACTATATTTTTTTTCTTTCCTACTCTTTTAATGATATGTATTTCATGGTCATTCTTCCTGACAAATGTGCTGTTTACTTTGTGTAGTCCCATGTTTTGAAATAACATTAAAATAATAGTCAAATCTATAAAATATAAAGACTTACAGAGGAGAATTATAAGGGTGAGCTCCCATTACTTGACTCACTTCCTGCTCACTTAGCCATTTGAAAGCATGCAAATGCAAGTAGATTAATAGGTACCACTTCAGTGGGAAGATAATAGTTTTCTGTGCACCTTTGGTGTTTAGCCATGCTGGCCACATATTACGGAAAATATCTTCGGACAACTCTGGTTCCCTTGGCCAGGAAATGGAGATGAACACCATGCCCTAGATTCGGACATAACTGAACAGGGAAACCTTTACCTTTTTAATCTAAAATAAGCGTTGCTTATCCTAAACTAGACAATGCACTCTTTTTCGTTCTCATTATTGTATATAATCTTCTACAGGTTCTTCCTCGACAAACTTGTGGCCTTTTTACTCATACAATTTTCTACAAAGAATATCCTGGTGGTCCAAAAGAACTAAACAAAAGTATACAAGGCGGGGAATTATTTTTCACAGTAGTTCTCAATCCAGTAAGTAGTTTAAATTATTTGAACAAAGATAAATGCTGAGCATACCTTAAGAAATACTGACTAATAGCATTGTTTTACTCTTGTTCTTTAGTTATATTGATGATGTATTCACTAATACATGTAAATGTTTTACAAAATGTAATAATTTTGAATAATCTCCATAATTTCTTAATAATTATCCTTACTGTTCTTCTTATTACTTGAAGCCAATGATGTTAGCATGTACTTTTGGAACAATAAACATGATTGAAATGTCACTAAATGGTTTCAGGAAGCCTACTATCAGTCTTCTACAAATTCCAGGTTATAAATAAGTTATTTTAATTACATAGAATAACAAACATCAAATAAACAAAGTACAAAATAAAGAGCGGCTGCTTTGTCACTCATGCTCTGATTTTTTTTTTTCTTTTTCTACTGGAGTTATAAAGCTTAGAATAGAATGAGTTCCTCTGGCAGATATAGAGCAAACTACTTTAAAGCAACATATAAGTGTGGGTTCTTTTTTTACAAACAGGCCCTGTTTGCACAACACATTTTGCTGGATAAAGGGAAAACCAACTATTCTGGAGTTTTTGAAACTCTAAAGAACAGATCTTAGGTTCAGGGGTGGGCTGCTGAGGGTTCGCGGGGGTTTGGGAGAACCTCTAGCTAAGATTCTGTGCAGTTTGGAGAACCCCCAAATCCCACTTCTGGCTGGCCCCGCCCACCCCTCCAGGAGTCCCCACATGGCCCGTTTTGGATGCAGATAAGTGCAGGGCGCGCCTGGAGGCTCGGGGAGGGCAAAAAACAGCCCTCCAGAGCCTGGGGAGACCGTTTTCCACCTCCCGGAGGCTCAAGGAAAGCCTCCGGAGCCCCCCCCCCCATTGTGGTGCAGGAGGCTGACTAGGCTACGCCGATCATGGCCATGCCCACCCAGCAACCTGGAAGAGAACCCCTTGCTAAAATATTTGAAGCCCACTCCTGCTTAGGTTGGAAGGGAAGATCAAATGACCCCAACTATGTATGTTTATTTCTTTGTTTGTTTGTTACTTTTATTGAAGAGCTGAAGGGAGTAAATATAGCATTGATCCTTCCAGTTGCTTCACAGCAAAATCCCTGTTTTTGTAATCTCATTGAAATGTTGGTACTAACGAATTTATAACATTTATTATAAATATTTTAATGATTTGAAACTGGCAAACTACTAAACATTTCTTTTTATTAAAACATCAAGCTACAAGTTAATGTAATAAGGGAAATATTTAAATGCTATTCCTGTTAAATAAGTAATCTGGAATAATTTAATGCTCATATATTATTACAAGACGGTAATAAAATATTCTTTTGATGTCTGCAACTATATATATATTTCTGGGCTTTTTTTTTCTTTTTTTTTTTTTCTGGCAGCCAGCAGTGGCTAACTGATGAGAGCTTATAAGGCCGAAATAGATCTATCTTAGTCTCCCAATGGGCAGCAAAGGGTCTGCTGGCTGCCAGAAAAAGAAAAAAAAAAGCCTAGAAACTAGTGAATTGTGATTTCACTGAACTAGGGCTGCATAATATCTTGGTTTACGTAGGTAGAACCTGGCTAAAGAGACATACACATAAAACCTACGAAAAGAAAGAAAAACAAATATTGTACCTTTACAGGGAGGATACATGAGATGAGGGTGTGGCTAACTGATGAGGCCTTATAAGGCCGAAATAGATCTATCTTAGTCTCTCAATGGGCAGCAAAGAGTCTGCTGGCTGCCAGAAAAAGAAGGGGGAAAAAAAGCCCAGAAATTAGTGAATTGTGATTTACTGTACCTTTACAGGGAGGATACATGGGATTATTTATTTATTTATTTATTTTATTAATAAATAATAATGAAGGTGTGACTAACTGATGAGGGTTTACAAGCCCGAAATAGATTTATCTTAGTCTCCCAATGGGCAGCAGGGAGCTTGCTGGCGGCTGGAAAAAAAGCCTAGAAACTAGTGAATTGGGATTTCACTGAACTAGGGCTGCAGAAAAATCTTGGTTTACGTAAATTTCTACTAATTAGTCCGAAATCTATATTAGTCTCCCAAAAGGCAGCAAACTGCTTGCTTGCTGTCTGAAAAAGCGTAGAACTAATGGATGTGATTTCACTGAGCTATGGCAGCATTTTGAAAATCTTGGTTTATGTAGGAAAATACCTGGCTGAGGAGAAATACATACATACATACATACATGCATGCATGCATACATACATACATACATACATATTATATATATATAATCTCAGGTAAAATTCAAATTTCTTTGGTGCGTCCAGTTTTCAGCCATTCTAGCAACTGCAGGGATCATGAGGTCATGGCTGAGAAGCATTCGGGTATCAAAGATATGGCTAATTGCATAATTCTGCTCCAGAGTCATTGAATATGCTCTACTTCTAAAAAAAAACTTAATGAAAATAAGAATCCAGTTCAGGTAAGCAGGCAGGGAGCAGTGTGGTTCCCTTTTCCAACCCCGATCACCACCGGGATTCCCACGTTAGAAATGTGGGAATCCCGTAGATTTACATTTTTAAATATGTAGATTTGTAGGAACAAATGTAACATTTAGAAATATTAGTAGCTTTTGTAGGTAGTATCTTCTAATCTGAATGTGCACCCTTTATGAACTGAAATGAACAGAATTACTTTTTTAATATTCATTCTACATAAAACAACTATTGTTGTTATTCACCTTTTATATTTTAAGAATAAATGTATTAGAAGTATTTCAAGGGGGGAAATGGAGCCTAATTTTAGCCACACAGAATTGTATAAAACTTGATAGTGAATTTAAATGTCTGTGCCATTAGGGCAAAAGTGGCATTCAAGGACAAAAGAGGTATTCATATAATCAAAAGTGGTGTCAAGTTTCTTGGGGTTTTTTTTCAATATATCCAAATAATATAAAGTATATATTACTATTTGTGAACATTTCATTTTTCTCAAGCATTATAACTTCCAAATTATTCAGATAAGGAATCTTAAGGCCTATTGAGAAAACCATTCTTTGCTAACTCTATTTACTGGAAATGGAAGAGCTTTTGCGCTAAAATAGTTCATCTAGCAAATTCCTAATATGCACACATTTATGTGGAATTGGTTTATGCTCCCCATATTGCTGGCTGATAGTAGCTATAAAATTATTCTGGCAGCAAAGCCCATTGTGTTCATAAAGCATGCAGGCTGTTTAAATTCCATCAGATTATGTAAAGGACATTGGGAGCTCATAATACATCAACTTTTAATACCGGCTATCTTTATGAAAAGTATGATCTACCCATGGTAGACCTGACAAACAATCAATGCCAGGGGACATATTAATTCACAAAGTGGAAAAAAGAAGAGTTTTCCCATTACTGATGCTGTTTAAGGAGGGGGCATGTTAAAAATAATATGTAGGTTTGTTCCATCCTTGATGAAACTTTTCACCTAGATTGCCATAAGTGTATCTTACAAACCACCTTATCCAAACAGAGGAAATAGACAAATTCTTTTGCCAATCAGTTAGCTAAAGTGTGCAGGAAACTCACTGTCAGACTGGCCATAACCGAAACCTCCAAATAGAAACAATCCTTGGCTCCATTTGTTGAGAAAGGTATAGTTTTATTAGAGGTCAAGTGTATTGCAGTATTGCATAGCCAGAACTGAGAATTGTGCACCCAAATGACTGAGTTCTACTTTTCCCTCCCTCAACTGTCCCTCGCTGCCCACCTACTGTAACCAATCAAGCCCATGAAAGATGTTTTCATAAGGATCAATCCAAGCGCAGCTTGGTATGTGACTTGTTAAAGTTGGGGTTGAATCAGGGGTGAAATGCTCCCGGTTCAGACCGGATCGCCTGATACGGTAGCGAGGGCGGTGGGTGGTTCAGAAAACCTGTAGCAAAAATCCCTGCCCCACCCCATGCCCAGCTGAGCCACGTGATCATCAGAAGCTTTTTTTTTAAGCATTTTTTCTACAACTTCTGGCCGAAAAAATGTTTTTAAAAGAAAAAAAAAAGCCTCTGATGATCGTGCGGCTCAGCTGGGATCGTCAGAGGCTTTTAAAAGCATTTTTTCTACAACCTCTTCAGCCGATCAGGTTGTAGAAAAAATGGTTTTAAAAGTTAAAAAAAAAAAGTTGGCCATTCCCACTCAGTCACATTACCCCACCCCCACCAAGCAACGCCCACAGAACCGGTAGTAACAAATTTTACATTTCACCACTGGGTTGAATGATATAATATATAATAGAAGATAGATAATAGAAGATAGATAGATAGATAGATAGATAGATAGATAGATAGATAGATAGATAGATTCTTAAATTTGGGATATCTGAGTAATGAACACTACCTACTTTGCTTGACTTTGGATATGACAGTTGACAATTTATTTCATATCTTATTACTTCAAGAAATGCTGGTAGAAATGCTGACTACCATTGTGATATTTCTTCCTTCTCAAGTAATTTTGACAGCATTCTGCCAGTTATCTGTGATAAGCCTTCCTTGTGGATCCATTGCTAGGATTCTGTGTCTTAAGCATTTGTCCTCTACTCTTATTTCTTTCTTCCTTGGGCCATCCCATTTCTAGTACGTAAGGAATTTAAGAGTGTGAATCTTTTGCACAGCGGAACAGTTGCTATAATAATTTTGCTACATTTATTAGAAATGACAGAAATTACATGGGTCATTATGTATTTTGTTGCTCCAGCAATGCTAAAAGTCTTGTATATAGTTATCTGTTGATGTGAAAGAACATGTCTAAGGGAGTGACCAGCCTGAAAGCATTGAGGATAATGTCTAGCTTAAGAAATTTACATCCAGAGGCTATCTAGAATCTGTGAAAGCATAGTTATACATCATTTTTTTAAAAAAATGTTCCTTTGGTTATGGCCCTGATGGCGAACCTGTGGCACATGTGCCACAGGTGGCACACAGAGCCCTCTCTGCAGGCATGTCAGCAATCGCCCCAGCCCAGCTGCACCACACATGCGTGTGAGCTGGTCTTCAGGTC